AGTTGTTGAACGAATTTCACATGAACTGAATCAAACTGACTGTGTCCCAAAAAAGCCATTCACTCAAAAGACATTCATTCGTAATTAACACCTCCAGTAGCAACAGCCAATAAGATCTACATGTGATTGCTTTTGTGATTACAAACTGATGGCTACTGGGGGTTAAGAGATCCAATAGATTCCAATTATTTCAATTCCCAACAACATAAATTAGTTTAAAATTGAACTACTTTCTCACTAGGAGGACTGTCTGATTAGTTATATGTCATGCCAACAATCCAATACATACATGTATATAATATTATTATTTTCTGTATTTATTTTATCTCCTTTTGTACTGTTTGTCAATTTGATTTATTTATTTTTTGCTTATTTCTATCTCTCTCTCGCTCTATATACACACACATATATATACTCATATATACATTTATTTCTTGTGTGTTTTATTCTTTATTCTTATTCATCTTATTACTATTGTCTGCGCGTTACACCATGTATAACTGTGTTTGTGACCAATAAAGGGCCTTGAATCCTGAATCATGCCAGTGTCTTTTTAAATAAACATAAAAAATAACAACAAAACCATACATGAAACATAAACAAGTAAAGGCATTTCAATGATTTCAACCACCGAGACGTTCACGTACTACCTCTGTGATACTTACATGAGGGTAGAGGGGGAAGTGCAGGTTCTTTCTGAGCTGGGCTACAGAGGAGCCGCACCAGTCCTCAAACACATGGAGGTTGGCCTGGCCCTTAAACTGAACAGAACACACAGAGAGAGGACACAGGTTAGTGCACACAGTAGCAAGCAAGGCCAACATTCTCACTATTAAATATGAGCTACATGTCAGTTCCACCAGAGCTGTCATCCTTCCTGCCAACAGTTCAATTTGCACTGGTTTCAGCATCGATGTATTTATATATTCGCGCTGGAATGTATGGAATTCCTGATGCCTCTCCACCATGCAGGCAAAATGAATGAATGTTCAAGCGCACCGTGAAGCTTCTCGCCGTCCCGGATAACAGACGAAGGCGACAGAAAGCTCGTCAGGAGTATCGGGAGGAGGGTGAGCCCAGAATGTCTGGAGCAGTTTGTCAAAGCTCATCCCCTGCCCATAGTCTGACATTTGTCTGAATTACACAGGGAAATCACAGGACACAGCAAGGACAGATGGTGAAACCAGTCTGCCTTGGGGTATAGTTTCCTCACACACTCACACACTCACACACTCACACACAGGTCCGCCCATATTTGAGCAGCGATGACTCTCCGATGACTCGTGTGTCAAACTTACACTGTTTGGGTAATGATGTGTTTTGGGTCAAATACGCTGAGACAGACTCTACAGATGAATGCATGGAAGAGTAATTATTCACATGCACACAAACATGCACAGCTTCACGTCGAGCCTCAGGAGGCTGTCGCAGCGATTTAACGACCTGCAAGCTCTCCGTACTGTACGATCGGCGAGCTGCGCCAACATACTGTACACACATATGGCCTCCTTTAATGCATGACGGCAGCCCCCCAGCAGGAGGCCACTGTGCCGCTGCCACAGACGTTTAGAACATCACACAGGACTCGAGCGCCAAATGACTACGAAGCGTCTCAGTCGAGGGATCAAAGCAAAAAGCTGGCTTTTTCCTTACTTTGGCCCCCTCATTTCATTAGGTAAAGGTGAGTAGCCGCTCGCTGTAACAGTCAACAAGCTGTCAAATCAATCAATCCCGAGAGCGACCTCGCGACACCAAAACACAGCGAGATGCAAATCCCGTCGTCATTTCATCAGCGGGATTGGAAGCCTATTGGGGTGGCGAACACCTCTTCCAACTCTGCATCTGCATTTAAAGGGTAGGGGGGTAAAAAAAAAAAAAGATGGAGGTTGTCGTGCTCCTTCAGCGTCACACAGGCATTCTAACAGATGGCCTGACCCGGAGCGGTCCTTCTCATTTCTCTGTACGGTCAACTAAGTGCCCGGCGCACTGACAGCAGCGCGGCAATTACAGCTCATGAATTAAGCATGCGATGGTTTTGTTTTGAAAACATGTCATTCCATCGCAGCGGGACGCCTGATTTTAGTTCACATATTAGATTTATTTTTGTTATATGCTCTCTTGCGGAATGACTGATTCAAATTTAAAACAGAGAGAGGGAGAGGGAGGAAGAGACGGGGGATTGTTTTTTTTTTTTCCAGGCTGACGGAATCAAATCAGAGAAAAGCAGGGAGTCAGAAAGATGGACGAGAACGCTGGGATGTCTAAAAAGGGGAGTGGCTGAGAGAAGAGAGACGGTGAGGTTAGAAGGATTTAGCAGAAGGGGACTAGTCCCTGTGTAAATATGCCTTATGTAAAGCTTTTAATAGATTTCCTGTGGGTTTTAAAAGCAAACCTTTTTTCGGTTCTGGCGCCCCCCCTCCTCCTCCACCTCCTCCTCCTCAACCCCCTTCCTCTTGTCAAATAGAAAATAAGCTTTTAAAGTCTCTAATTATTCACAGTCACATATCCCCTGTGCAGCCCTGCAGAGGCCACGGGCTGGAAAGTCTGCTTTCTGCTGGGGGGCGCTTGTGTGTAATTGGCTGTGTTTTGTGGGTGACAGCAATGTGAGAGCTCAGTCCGGCCTTAACAGGGTGTTGGATGTGGAGGTAGGCAAGAGGAAGCTGTTGTTTTTTTTTCCTTCTCCTAACAGAAACTCACCCATCTGCTAACCCTCGCCTTCACTAAACCGTCCTATCCTGCTATCTCATTTGACTTTTTCGGAGAGGGCTGCTCCTGCCTTGCCTTCTCTCAGTCCCACTATCCCTAATGTTGTCTTTTTCTTCCGTCTGACCTCTCTATTTTCTGCCTCTACGTCCGTCTGTGTGCTGCCAAACGCTGTCAGATTCTCTCCTCTCTGTCTTTAGTTTCCCTGAGCTCAGCTGTTGGCTGTCACTCCACCAGGCTGTCTCTTACCATCTCAGTTTTTTTTTGTCTTCCTCCTCGTTGCTTGTTTTGGTCTTAAAGCGACGCTCGCATTATCAGTTGGTACAGCCGACTCCTGTGCTTTTATTTGTGGATTTACTTGCTTTATTTGCTTGCATCATACGGGGGCGTGGACTTTGCTGTCACAACTTTTTAAATGTCAGCTTTTTTTTTTCCTTCCTCCTTCAGTAATTGGCTAAAGAAGAGACAGAATGACTGCTGCTGTCTTTCTCGCTGTGTTCCTTTGCTCTCATTCATTGTTCTCTGCTCTTTAATCCAGAGACAGGACGATTCAGAAAGCGTCATTTCTAAGGCGGAGGCTCTCCATCTGTCAGTCACACTCCCTGTTCGTGCCCTGGAGGTGCGTTCGCTTGCTTGTTTCACTCAGCTCGGGCGAAGCACTTGTGGTGAGCTGAGGCAGCAGTCACATGTCCAAAGCGGCTATTTGCTGGGCTAATTGCAAGGACCTGCAGGCAAAAGGCTCTTTTCGCCGCGGTTCAGCCATGTGTCATATATTCAATATTGGATTTTTATGTAGTGATGGCGAGGCTTGGGTTGATGTGGAGATCTAAACTCGTTGCTTCACCTAAAATGCTCCCTGATTTCGAGGAGTCTCTCAGACACACGGCACTAGAAAATAAAATAAAATAATATTTTAATTATTTATTGCCACAGCTTTGGAAATAATCATTAGACCGACGTGGCCACTGCGTTCTGCCTCCTACTTTGAAGTTCTCGGTGGAGGCACACTGCGTTTTCTTCTTAAGGTTGCAATGAACAGCTGTTTCACTGATTCCAAGCTGGTTCTCTCGCTGTTTCCCTCTTCGTTAAGCGCCAAGACGAGTGTCTTCTCATCATCTCGCAATTCTCTTCTTCTAGGGATTGTTGAGTGATAATTAAGTTGGGATCATCTGTTGACTTTACATTTACAGCTTAGGCACAGAATAGTGGTGGGAAAAAAAAAACTGTCACTGTTTTCTGTCGTCTAGTGACAATTTCGACATTTTTACAGTTTCAATAGGTCATATTTGTAAACATAATTTACTGTATGATTGAAGATGCTGTGATTATTTAACCACTATGTTAAATTGCAAGTTAAGCAATCAATAGTAAAGGCCTATTATGTAGACACTGTAAAGTAAAAAAGAGACGGCTAGCAAGTATTTTCAAAGCTGTATGTTCTGATATTTGGGGCTTTTCCTCGAGCGCATGCATCCTAGAAAGACTCCCCATCACATGCTAACACTGAAAACAACTTGCAAATACTAACAAGAAGGGAAATGTACACAAGGGTCATTATTAACTTGCATAACTGTCAATTTAACACAATAAATCCTGACAGTTATCACACTTGTCATCCTACTAAATCATGATGTGTAGGTATTTGTGGCTATCTCCCTTGACAATCAAGTGTATAAGATAAAGGATGCCTTTAAGGTATTGTTACCTAGCAACAACACACCGACAACATCCTGTGTATCCATCCACAAATAGCAAATTCCAACTACATACATATTTCAGTGTATATTGTAGGTTTCAATAAAAAAAAAAGAGCTTACATCATCTAAAACCAGATCGCCTTCTGTTGAAAAAGCTTCAAATATTTTTATCAGGACAAAAAAAAGTCCAGTACATATCAACAAATTGTGTAAATCAAGCCTTCCTTGATTTCTCCTTATTAGTATATAACAAAACAAACATACATACTATCATTGGCCCCCAGATCTTTTTATATTTCTCTAATCTGTCTATCAAGACAAACCTGATTTTCTCTAGGTGGAGGGTATCTGTTGGTATTGTTGTCCAGTTCTGTCCTCTTCCGATGCTGCAGAATCAGTTTCTGAGCACAAACAATCGCATAAGAGAGTAAAAAATGTTGAGTTTTGAGAAGTTTTTTTAAGTTTCTGAGACGCCAAATAAGACATTCACCGGAGCGGGTTTCATTTGCACCCTCAGGACCTTTGTCAAAAAAGAGAACCAATCATCCATCATCTATGCACCGTTTAATCCTCACTAGGGTCATGGGGGGCTAGAGTCTATCCCAGCTGACTCAGGGTGAAGGCAGGTTCACCTGGACAGGTAACCAGTCTATCACAGGGCTACACTTAGAGACAGACAACCAAGCACACTCACATTCACACCTACAGATAATTTAGAATCACCAATTAACCTCAACATGTTTCTGGACCCTGTGGGAGGAAGCCGGAGAACCCGGAGAGAACCCACGATGCACGGGGAGAACATGGAGACTCCATGCAGAAAGACGCGAACCGGCAACCTTCTTGCTGCGAGGCAACGATGCTAACCACCGCTCCACCTTGCAGCCCAAAAGAGAACCAGAACCCTTGTAATCTTGGACACAAAACAAAGCTGTGCAGTAAGGCTGCTTCTGCATGGTGACAGATTTTGGTAGATTTTGCTAAATTTCCTGTTGAAAAACCTTTTCATCGCCTTTTTTTAACTTCAGAAAATTCCAGTAGACACCCATGACAAAAACTTTTCTTTCTGTTACGAGTCTCTATTAAGTCCCAGTGTTCATCCATCTCCAGATGTTCCAACCACTGCCCCATATTGGGGACCTTTTGACAACTATCTGCCTTTATGCATAAAACTACTCTTAAAATATGGTGAGATTTCCATCTTCATCAAATTAATACAATCAAGAAACACAATCCACTCTAACTAATAGCACATAAATCCAATCATTGTTCAAACCAAATACATCACTGAACATTTAAGAGTGCTAGAGTGAGATACAACTACTTTTACTTGTAAAAAAAAAAAAAAAGCATCTGTTGAT